ATTCAGGCCTGTCGATTGGCCTGAATTGGCCTAAATGCAAGCCTTCCAATCTGAGTCTATTGATTGGTCCAAATTGAAAGCTGCTATGGTTGGGGCAGATTTCTCCTTGAGCTAGTGCAGGGTGTCCAAAACAGCCACAGCTGTCATGGTGTCAGATTGGTGATAGGGAGATGTGGCTGTTTGATTGACAGCTGTTGTGACTCCTTAAAAATAATGGGGATAAAACTAGGGTATCTTCAAGAAGGCTAGATGTGTTCATCGCAGCTTATTGGGGCTTGGAGAGGTTGAGAATATTAATAATTGGCCCAAATCCTTCCCTGGTCTTCACCATGTTAATTTAGAGGTGGTTTCCCTACAGCTTCACTGGGGTGGGGGAGAGACACTGTTGCTGACCCCTGTCAGAGTGGCCTGGAGAGAGGCCACAAAGTAACCTGAAGGGTGGACACTGGGGTGAGTTGTCCTAATCTGCCCTCCAGCAACCATGGGGGAGTGAAGGAAAGTGCGGGGAAGGGGTATGACAGCTGTTGGGCTGGTGTCGTCAGAAAGAAGTATTCTGTGTCCCCACCTCTCCCAGCAGTCCAGCCAGCTTGTGTTGTGCTGTACAGTCACACCCCTGTTGCACGCCTCCTTTTGTCTCCTCCCAGGAGATCTCCTTCCTTGGGATACATGTCCTCAAGTTGTATATGCTGAAATCTTTCAAGATCCTTTGGATGTTGGAGCTTTTCCTGGGTGTCAACTCAGAATTCCCACAGCATTTGCTGCAGAGGAACTTGAGAGCAGAGAATGCTGTAGGCATCTCCACATTCCTCCTCTCCACTTCAGTGCCTTCCACTTTAATGTGCACTTGTGAAGTATTTATGGAACTCATGAATAATTATCTTATAACCAGGAGCTTAATCCCCACCTTTGGCTTGCTGAGTCTGGGGGAAAGATTCCACCAGTGTCACCTGGTCATTGTCCTAGTTGAGAGGCACAGTGGTCCCTAACTATGGGAGCTGTTGGCTCTCTCCTTTGTGCTATTGTGTGACTTCTGCACCACTTCTCAGAGAAAGGTGCTGGGATGAATGCAGGAAGCTTCAGAGCACCATTGATGGAAATAGAATTGCGTGCCTGTAAAGGCCATGGGAGCCGATTGGATCCCCCCCCACACACATACACAGATGTGCATACACATGCACACATACATATGCGAAGTCTGAAAGTTTGAACAAATGCTTTTTGAATATTGGCCTTGTCCATCATTGAGCTCTCTATAGGTCAGGGCTGGAAAGCTAGTTTGGAAGAAAATGGCCTGAGGTGAGCTGATGTGTTGGAATATTCAGAGCTGCTCCAGTTGATGTAACTTCTACTGATCTTAGTTCACTTTTTTCTGGCATTTTGTTCACAGCACCTTTTAGTGCTCCATTAATTCTTCACATTCTCCATTTCTTCCATTTCTTCCATCTTTGGAGGTGGTATTCACTGGTTACAAGTGAAAGCAACAGTCTTTGGGTAAATCTTTTTTTTTATAGACACTGACTCTGCAGGTCTGAATGAATTCTTTTCTCTATTTCATGACACAGTTTCAGCCCCCCACCCCCAAGACCGCAGTCTGTGTTCCGCCTCTTGGGCAACTTACTGCTCAGACTGTGCAATTCCATTTGTAGAAATGGACACTTTAAATCCAGGTATTAAATTGTAATCCTGCTAAATAATTTGTTTCCTGGTTTATGAGGTTTGCAGAGAAGAGGGGGTGGAAAAATGCAGAATGTTTTTTAGCACATTTCCTTCCTTCCGCCCCCAATCCTGCTAAAGATACAGCATGCTGATTTCCTGATGCTGGTAGGGTCACTCCTGGTGTTGGATGTTTGTGTGCCCCAGTTACTTTCCCAGTGGGATGGCGTCTTACACATTCTGTCACTGCGATGGAAACAAGTGCTGGGGCAGAGAAGGTGCTCAATGAATTCATTCATTAACTGCTGGTTTTGTACCTTGGTTCTGAGCTCTATGGGAATGTGGCTGGACACTGGCCCATGTGGGGAGACCTCCACCTTCATTTTCTCTCTTTTTTTTGCCACTTTTTATCCCCTGAAATCCAGCTCCATCTTTTTTTTTTTTTTTCCAGCTCCATCTTTAAAACTGAAATTGATTTTTTTCTAGTTGCCCAAGACTTTCATCTGGCAAATGAAATGTGTATGTATATGTGTATGTGTGCATGAGACCACACCCACACCCGCACCCAGCCAGCTCCTACCTCCAGCCCAGACCCCAATGCCTCTTTCTCAGCTGCGTGAATGAACCATGTACTCCTCTCACTCTTCTGAACGATATGTCTGTGACTTCCAACCCCTACTTCTGTCTTATTCTGTAAGTAATGTATAAAATCCCCAAGTCACTGTCAGGCTTCTTCCACCCACTGTGCAGCAGGGCCACAGCAGTGAACACAGCAGACCAGGTCCCCCAGCCCTGGTGCAGCTCATGGTTTCCTGAGCAGGTGTGCCTCACTTGCTGCCTGTCAGTGTGCTGCCATCCCCTCCTCCTCCCCCTCCTTTAAATGTCCACCTCGGCTCACCTCCTCCACAAACTGCCTTCAGTCTCTTCAGGCTGCAGGAGGAAACCCCCTCAAAACTTCTTCCATTCTTAACCAGATTGTGAACCCCTTTAAGGTCCACTATTTTTATTTGCTATGCTCTCTCCAATGCTGAGTGTGCTGTCAATTCTATAGTACGGTAGTATCCATAATGATTAAACTATAATTATGTGTAATTAGAAATAATTAGGATAATACATGGAACCTGGCATTGCATAAAATGCTTTATATGCAGTTTCTTACCTAGTGAATGGGTATTCGGTACATACTCAAGTGGCTTAGGAAGACTTGCTCAGTTGATCAGCAGCTATAGGTCTCAGGATGTCACTTCTAGGTCTCAGATTCAGGTTTTACTACAGTTAGCTTTCTGTTTCTGTGAGAAACAAGAAAGGTGTATTTTGTCTCACAGTTTTGGAGGTTTCAGGCTGTGATTTATTGGCCCTGTGGCTTTGGGCCAGTGGCAGCACATCATGGTAGAGGTTCATGGTGAACAAAGCTCCTCTACTCATAGCTGGAAAGTAGAAAAGGAGGAAGAGGCAGAGGCAGAGAGTGTCTCACTGTCTCCCACATCTGCAGTGACCAGAAGGCTTCCCCTTAGGCCACAGCTTCTAGAGGTTCCACAGCCTCCCAAAGATGCCACAGGCCTGCAACACAGGGGCCTTTGAGAGACATTTCAGAGCCAAACTGCAGCATTTGCTCAATGGAGAGCCAGACACCTGCTTTGCAAGGTTCTTTACATTTTCAACTGTCTGGTTCAATTCAATTTTAAATCACACTTGTTTAGGGAATCCTTACTGTGTACTCTGCACAGATTTGTCACTTAGGGAATATAAAACAAAGAGGGCTCAGTCTCTTCCCTGATTACCAGCTAGAACAATAACAAGAAGCTGGAGGTATCTGAGGGATGGAGAACACAGAGCAAATTACTTCATGAGGAGAAAGTGGGGGAAATCCCTGAGACTCTATTGTACTTAGAAGCTTCCTGAGGGAGGAGAGATTTCCGCTGAGTGTAAAGGAGGCAGTTGGTGGAGTGGGTTGCTGGAGTGGGAGTACAGAAACACCTCTTGGCAGGACGGGTGGTCACAGGCTATTCACAGAGCCAGACAGAGCTCTGTTTAGGAGTCACCAACCAGACATCTGGCATGTGCTAAATTTCAAGCGGCCGCCATACGGATATTGATGTAACATAAAACAGGGGAATCTTGATTACATCAGAAAAGTATGTGGAACTCAGAGGAGTGAAGCATTTGGATATCTGAGATGATCCTCTGGTTAAAGCCATTTATTTTAGAACCCCATGATCTGAGACTCATCAGACACAGGAGAGCAAGGTGATACACCTGGATTCCTTCATGCTGTAATACGATTAATTACACCCTGCCAATACTAGTGTTTAATGGTCAATATGTGTCTCTTCATCTTGGAAAGGAATTGAAGTGCCTTGCAAACACATTTGCGAGGAATGAGATAAAAATACAGGAGAGAAAATAAAAGAAATGATAGGGTGAGGCTATAGAAAAAGCCAAAGGTCTACCAGGTAGGTTGTATACTGGGTTCAACATCTGTCTAAGTCACTTTCCTGTTGCAGGGATATAGTACTCCACACCCACAATTTAAAGGAAGAGATGTCTATTTTGGCTCACAGGTTTTAGAGAATGCAGTTCATAGTTGGTTGGCTCCAAGGCAGGAAGAGCACACTGCCACGTTCTGGTGGAGGATGCTGCCCATGCCGTGGTGGTCAGAAAGTGGAGAAGCCAGGGACAAGAATACACCTTCCCAGGTCGCCCTCTAGGGACTCACCTCCTCCAATCAGACTCCACCCCCTTGCAGTGCTTTTAGTGCCCCTCTAAACCAGTCACCTGCCAGAAGACCCACCTCTGAATACACGAAGCTTTTGGGGGGATTTTGAGGATCTAAATCATAACAGCATCTTAGCAGCCAATGCAATCATTCCTTTAAGGGAAGATTTTATTTTTAATATGATAATGTAGCATCCCTAATTGTCTAGACTTTTACTCGGAGACTTACTGAGGAAGAGGATTTTAGACACTGGATAATCCTGTGTGCTTTTATTTATGTTGTTTGTGTTTAGGAAAATTAATTAGGAATAAAGGCTAAAAGCAAAACACCAGCCCAGGGCTTTTTGGTGAGCTTTGGAGGCCAGGCTGTTAATGTACTCGTGATCTTCAGGAAACTCCAATTCTAAGGCCACAGAGAGTTTCCTCTCTTTGGAAAACATAATTGTTATGAATGATTTCCTTCTAGGAAAGGCTTTCGTCTCTGCCTCCCCCAACACACCGTCTACCCCCAAACATACTTCACTTGCTTTGTGCCATCTGTGGGGGAGTGGAGTCTCCCCATGTCCTTAGGGTGTTTGCATCTGAGAACAATGAGAAGACCTGCCCGGAGTTCCTCTCTCTTGTACTCACAGCGTGAAGCAGCACGAGCGCTATGGCCAGCTGACTTTGGTCAACTCCACTGCGGCCGACACGGGGGAGTTCAGCTGCTGGGGCCAGCTCTGCAATGGCTACATCTGCAGAAGGGACGAGGCCAAAACGGGCTCTACCTACATCTTTTTTACAGGTAATGTGCTTGATGCATTCACTGCAGAGCCCTTCAAACTTCTGCACTTGGCCCACAACTGGGATTTTCACTTCATGCTGAACAGCAAATGATAGTAAGGTACTATTAAGGCTCTGGGCTAACTGCTTTCCATTAATTACATCATGTAAGTCCTACAATGTTTCAGGGTAAGGAGGAACATCATTTCTTTTTCTCATATGGGGAAGTTGAGGTTCAAAGAGATTAAATCCATAAGGTCATACAGCAAGTAAGTGGGTGCCAGGATTTGAACACAAGAACTGATTCTAAGGTGTACTGTTCTGTGTGGTAGCCTCTGGACACATGGGGATACTTAAATACAATTGAGTATTAAGTGAAATGGGATAAAATGAAAAGCTAATTCCCTCAGTCACAGTTGCCACACTTTAAGTGACAGGTAGCTAGTGGCTGTGGTACTGGACATCACAGAGAATGTTTCCCTCACAGACAGTTCTTTTGGATAGTACTGATCTTTCTGGAACCTCCATAGTCACAGAGACTTTGTTAAGACCTCCTAGTATTTGTTCCTAATGAGCAGTAAGAGCTGAGGGTGGGGACAGGATTCTCAAAGTGTCTGTCCTCCTTGGCTGTAGGCTCAGTCCCTGAACCGGGGAGCCTGAAAACCCACAGGTCTCGTTTTCCCTCTGCAGTGGCAGGTGCACATTTACAAAGTGGAGCTTGCATTTTTGTTGCGGGTCCCCTCTGCCACCTGCCTGTACACCTGCTCACAGTCTTCTTCCTCTGCAGATCCCCTAATCTCTGAAGTTAGGAGGATAACATTCAGCAAGGTTCAGAGGTCAGGAACAGTTTTCAAGAATCTTGCAAATTCCACCTCCTGGCACTGTTGTCCCAGGCATTTCAGGGGAAGCTGGGATCTTTTCTTAGCTTCTGGGTGCAAGTTTTCATGAGTTCTAACTTGAATCCACATGCCTTTCAGACATAGACTGTGCGAGTGTGCGTGTGCCACATGCTAGGCAAGGGCATATGCTTTTCTACCACTGAGCTCCAGCTCCAGCTCCAGATCTAGGGTGACCTTATGCCCTTGCCATTAATTAAGGTTTTGATGACATCTGATATATTTTCCTTTTCTGTCCAAATTGACCCTTTCCAGCAGAAGCATTAGCAAGACATGCTATATTTAAGAAACACATAAAAACACATAATAATGCTCACTCTGAGACTCAAAAAGGCACAGGTTTGTCCAGTTTTCTGTGACTTGCAGTGTCAGAGTAAGGAATCAAACTGTCTTTCTGACCCAGGGTCCAGGGTTATTACTGCTTGAACTCTCTCTAGGACAAAGCATTAAACAGACTGATAGATGAACAGACAGACACTAGCTGGAACTTTTAGGGGAATTGTTCTCAGTTGCTTGCAGGCGATCCCTTTGGATCCTCATTTTGGAATATGCTCATTTGCCCTTTGTATACCACACTGCAAAGCAGCAGTGGGAAAGGCAACCAGCTAAGACATATGAGCCATTATCCCAAAAAAGGGTGGGTGCCATATGTCAAACTTCTGAATGAAGATTCTTTGCCAAGATTAGCACTACTGTGTCTTCCCAGACTGGTTTAGGTTTTGAATTGAAGGCTTCACTTGAGCAGAATGTTCCATTAGATTCACGGGTTCTCTTTGAATTTTGTAGGTAGGTCTCTTTCTTAATTTACTGATATCTTTTTGTGAGCCAAAGGAAGACTAAAACATTTACTTTGACTTTAAAGAAACCAGGTCGAGGCAGGTGTGGTAGTGCACACCTGTAATCCCAGCGCTCAGGAGGCTGAGGCGAGAGGATTGTGAAGAGTTTGCCTAGCATGTGGAAACACACACACACACACACACACACACACACACACACACACATGAGTCCATGTCTGAAGGGCATGTGAATTCAAGTTAGAACTCATGAAAACCTGTGCCCATCAGTTTTCACACTAATGTTGATTGCCTGGGCTATGTAGTGAGTTCAAGCCCAGCCTGAACCACATAATGAGACCCTGTCTCAAAAAACAAATCAAAACAAAACAGAAACCAGATCAAAAGCAGAAGTGACCACATATATTGTATCTTTTCTTTAATTCCTCAACACAAATGTCCAGGCAGATTTTTTACTATAGGGCTTGTCAATTTGTCCTTCCAAGTGTGGATGGATTTGGGAAACCCAGATGGGCAGTTACAGAAGCTGAGGCTCCATTGCTGGCTCTGAATTCTCTCAGAGCATATGCTTCTCAGCTGCCCATGTGGAGAACATCTGCCATTCATTCCTAGAGTTTGTTTGAAAACGCTGTGAAGCTTGTCTTGGGTCATTGTTACTAATTTGTACAATGTTTGATTAAGTGATTGCTACATATATCTCCTCTTCATCTTTATCCAGAAGAATCTCAGAAGGGTTCCTTCTCCCACTTCCTATTCCTGTAACATACATAAAGGAAAACATTCAGATCCTGAGTATACAGCTCAATAAGTTGTCCGCAGGGAGCAGATACATGTGGCTACCACCCAGATGGATCAAGGTTGAGAACATTATGGGCAGGAGGGCTCTCTTAGAGTGCAAGGCCTGAACAATTATTTTATATGTAGGAAAACCACATTAATAAGTATTTTACTAAATACTGAGTTTTCCATATTGTGGATATTAGTTTACAGATTTTTTTGTTTATAGAGTATTAACTTTAATTTTTTGAAATATACAATCCCATGTGTTCAGTAAAAAAATTAAAATATGTTACACTCATAAACACATTTGCAAGACATATATCTTCTTATAACTTTACAAATGAATTTTAACACACTTTTTCTTTTGTAGATGGAAGTCACTCCAGGTTTAAAGGGCATATGGATTCAGGATGTAGACAGTACACACACATTGTGTGTGTGTGTGTGTGTGTGTGTGTGTGTGTGTGTGTAGGGGTTGATGGGGATAGAAACTAGGGCCTTGTGCATACTAAGCAAGCACTCAACCATTGGGCTATACCTCCAGCCCTGCAGATATTTTAAAGCAAATGGTAAAGTCACTTATTTCAAAGCACATATCATAGTACAAGAGGTAAGGTATCATTTTAGTGGTCTGAAATTCAAATTGTTTAATTCTTCTGGCTTGCCTCATTGCTTCTAGTTATAAGCCCTTAAAGCAAAAGTTACCACTATAATCTTACAATCATAAAATCCTTAAGTGTTGTTGCTAAAAAGATGTCTATAATATTATTTACTCCAGATTCTTATTACAAATGGGGAAATCGAAGCACAGAGAAATAAAGTAGCACATCCCAGGCCATATGCACACACTCTATGTGAACACAAGGATGTTAGGAATAACAGAAAATGCCCATGCTGGGTGTGGTGGTGCATGCCTGTAATCCCAGCACTCAGGAAGCTGAGGCAGGAGGATTGTTGTGCATTCAAGACCAGCCTGTGCTACAAAGTGAGCTCAAGGCCAGCCTGAACTACACAGTGAGACTTTTCTCAAAAAGACAAAAACAAGACAAACAAAAAAACAAAAAAAAAAAAAGAAAGAAAATGCCCCTTGCGGAAGCCTGAAAGTCAAATATCATAAAGTAGCATGAATCACTCAAGCTGGTTGATTCGAGGCCTGGCAGTGATGGAGACTCTCTGAGCCACAACATAATGCTTCCTAATTGTAGAGCCAAGAGGAAGGACTTCCATGCTAGTGAACTTGGTCCTTGGAGCAAAAGAACTTTGGCTCATGGAGACACTTGATGTTGCTTCCAGGAATCCTGTGACCAACCCAAAGCATCATACAGTGGTGACACAGAAGGCTAGTGGAGGAGAAAGCCAAGAATAATTACTTGTTTCAGAAACACTGCAAGGAAAACAGAAGAAACACTTTAACAAGTATCCTGTGGTGGGACTAGCTTCAAAGATTTCTCTTAGTGATTACTGTAGTAGTCCCTCATAGAAGGATCCAGAAGATAAGGATTTAATAGGCTATGCCAAACAAACAAAACACATATGTGCACAGACAGACACACATATACACTCATACGCCCCAGACCCTTGACTAAGTCTTAGGGGTAGTACAGATAAGCTGGTCCTTTTTTCTCCCATTTCTGTAGGATAAAAATGCCACCATCCAGGGTTTCAAGGATCTGGCAGAATACATTTCAGACGGAAGATGGGAGGCAGGAGGTTGGCTGATGGCTCCCAGCCAAGAAGTGGTCAAGCAGAGACCAGACCTGAGACAGCAGGTTCCTCCCTGTTCCTGCTCCACTCCCTTACAAGATCTTGGCCAGGCAGTAGGTCTTCTGGGCTGAGAATGAGGCAGGGTGAGGACACTGTCACTGAGGAGAGCTCCCAGTTCTTCTTGTGCTGGGAAGTGTTTCCCATTTGGCAGTTACTAACTATAGCCAAAGGGTTAATTTCTCTGCATAAAAGCAGGAATGGTTCCAGGGTTTAAGACTGCTCTCAACATAAAGAAATCAATCTTCCTCAGTTTGGTGATCCATGATCTGATTTGGGTTTGAACTAAGACCTTTTTGCTTCCTTTAAGGAGATGAGAAGTGTCAGCTTTGTGTCATTAGAAGAAAATACCCAAGACAATTAACTTGTCAAGAGAAAACGTTTATTTTAGCTAACAGTTTTGGAAGTTCTGTTCCATGATCAATTGACCCCATCTCACTGGGCCTGTGGCAAGGCAGCACATCATGGCAGGATCACATAGTGAAGCAGAACCACTCACCTCATGGCCAGGAAGTAAAAAAGAGGAAGAGACTGGGACTTCACAATCCCCTCTTAAGCCACACACCAGGACCTCCCGCCAGGCCCCAACTCCTAGAGGGTTTAACACCTCCCAGTAGTGCCAGTGTAGGGACCAAGCCTTTAACATGTAGACTCCTGGGGGACCTTCAACATGCGATCTGTAGCAGAAGCAAAATCATTCTTCCAAAAAAAATGCACAAAGAAGCCAGCTTTCCTTCTTTATAAGGACCCAGTAGTTTGAGTTCATTGCAAGTCCTCTCATCTTTGTGCGTTACTGTTAAGAATCCTTAAGGCACTCTTAATGAATGTCTCCAGAGTAAATGAGACTGTGTCTTCCTGTTTGCAGAGAAAGGAGAACTCTTTGTACCTTCTCCCAGTTATTTTGATGTTGTCTACCTGAACCCGGACAGACAGGCTGTGGTTCCCTGTCGAGTGACTGTGCTGTCAGCCAAAGTCACACTCCATAGGGAGTTCCCCGCCAAAGAAATCACAGCCAATGGAACGGACATTATTTACGACTTGAAGAGAGGCTTTGTGTATCTGCACCCTCATTCTGACCACCAGGGGGTGGTCTACTGCAAGGCAGAGGCTGGGGGCAAGTCTCAGATCTCCATCAAGTACCAATTGCTCTACGTAGAAGGTAAGCCTGCCACCCCCAGTGCCTGGATTTTAGTTACTTCCCATGAATCCCTATCAGGAACTGCTATTCTGTTGTGGATGGGAAAATAGAGGCATAGAATGCAGTTCTGATGGGCTCCCCTACTGCATTACCACTTCTAGAATGTTCTGCTTCCTTTCCCTGACCCTAACCCAACACTCCTTGATTGCTTCCCTCCAAATTCTCCCACCTGTGCTTCTGATACTGCTTTTGTGTTTGATCAGTTCCTAATTCAATTTCCACATTATTGTTGATTATAATTCTAATTAAACTATCCCACAGGTTCCCATCTCTCCAAGAACCACAGTCAGAACCCTCCCTGTGGCCTGGCTGCGTGAACCCTGCCCTCCCTCCATCCTCCTCAGCTGCCTGGTCCGGCTTCTCTTCTTCCCCAGGCTGCCTCCACTCAGAGCAGCCTTCATCTCACCCTACGGGCTGTGCACCCTGGGATTTCTGGCCTGCCAGGACCCTCTTTCCCCCATTCAAGTCTTTTAAGCTCAACCCTGAGATTTTAATTCAGACTTTGCTCTGAAAGTGGTCATCCCACAAGGAAGGCGTTCCTGGCTCAGGCTATTCCAAACTTTCAGAGCACACTGGGCTTCTCCTGCACGGCACTTAACACAGTCCAAGTTTCAAACAGACCATACAGTGACTTGCTTAGTGGCTCCTCCCCTGGGATGTGCACTCAGAGGACACAGAGGAGACCATTTCTGTCTTGTTGGCTTCTGCGATCCCAGCTTTTAGCATATTGCTTTGCTCAAGACCACCATGAAAATCACTAGTGAGAAAACAACAAAGAAATGTGTTTCTGAAATGCTATGATATAAATGCACTGCACACACAGGTAGCACTAGTACCCTTCTGGAAACATCTTTCTTGTCCATGTATTTACTTAGACTTCTCTTTTTTCTGAGAATGGACAGCCATACACTCTCTGTCCACCTTCACCCTTTCTAATGCTACCATTGTTGTATTCTTCTTGCTCTTTCCTCAAATGCTCTTTTCACCCTCCCTTTTTTATTCACATGATCCTTGGCCAACTTGTTAGCCTCCTGCCCTATGAGCACAGTGGCCTTGGAGTCGTGGATGACCACTTCATTCTGGACCATCTGAGAGAGGGACAGAGGCAGCTTCAAAAGAAACCAAAAGTAGTGGCTAACACTGGCCTGGTGCCGCTTGGGAAGCTCTAAGATAGGCAGAAATGTTACATCCCTCTCCAAAGAGAATACATGAGGTTTGTCGTTAGTGTCACAGTTATGAATCTCATCTCACACTCCATCTCCTGCTTACTTCCAGTCCCCAGTGGTCCCCCATCAACAACCATCTTGGCCTCCTCCAACAAAGTAAAAGGTGGGGATGATGTTAGCGTGCTCTGCACTGTCCTAGGGGAGCCTGATGTTGAGGTGGAATTCAGATGGATCTTTCCTGGGCAGAAGGTAAGTACCACATCTGGTCTTAGGCAGTCTTTTAAAATCACTTTTGTCCCCATCCAGTTCAAGAAATGTGTGGGGTTTTAGCAGGGGTCAGTGTGAAGACAAAGGTGGAGAACCTGTGGCAGGTGTGCACAGCGCACTGTTACCACTGAAAGCCCTAACAAGTTCACCATTACTGGTCTAAGATGTTTCAGTGTATTTACAAATGTTCACTCAATGTATGCTCTTCATATGCAGGTTTTGTTTTCATAACCCCTAATTAAGAAGGGACAGTGGCCTGAAAGAGGAGGGAGTACCTCAGTCTTCATTCTGATCTTCTGGGTCTACCAGAGGCAAATCTCATCTCCTTCCAGTGTCTTCACAGTGTTCTCCAAGCTGTGCCCGGTGATAGGAGCTCTGAGCAGATATCCAAGTGGGCATATAAACATAGGCCCTGTCCAAAAGGTGCTGTGAAGCCAGAGGTCACTTAAATATAGACTTTCCGTAAAAGCAACGACAGCACACTTAGCCTTTGTGCATGTTCTGCTCGCTGAAATAAATAGCTCTGTTACCAACATGGAGTAACCCCTTTGTTGCTAGGAGAGATGTCACTTCTCAGTGGCCCAAGCGCTGTAACAGGTGGGAAATAACTACCCCTGAAGAGTAATATTTTCCAGCATCCTAGTACCAGGTAGTTATTAAAATGTGTTACCACACTGGGCAGATGTTACTGGTTTCGAAGACAGCTGGTATTTTTTAATTGTTAATTTCTATTTTATGAGCAGAAAATATTAATTTAGTAATATTAGTATTAAATGGATTCAGAAAACACTATATTTTCGTCACTGAATTTGGCTGAAATATCTCAAAAGTGACTGTCTCCTTCTAGAAAGGGATGTCATGTCATGTAGGGCATCATTTCATCCATCCAAGTACAACTTTTCTTCCTCTGGAGTCCCATGGCACATGCAACTAATGTACCGCTCCCTCTCCCAAAGCCAAACAACTGGGAGCTCTTCTTCATTTGTAATGAGTTCTTGGGGCTTCTGATTTTAAATTTGGTGAATAAGAACCACTTGGGGAGATTTTATTGAGCAATATAAAGATGGAAGCAGTGAAAAATGTAGTCTGTGTTTTTATGCTCAATACCAGTTCCATTTAGAGTTCCAAAAGAATACATCTTAAGTATAAGCTTACTAAAGAAAATGGCAGAAAAGAATCACCAGACAGCATCCTGAAATTTAGGACTCCACTTGGAAAAAATACAGCCTTGAATGACTATACAGGGTAAAAGCCTCAAGAGCCCATGCGTGCTGCATACCAAACACATAAAACTCATACATAAGTACGAGCTTTGCACGTTGAAAGGAACAGTGTGCTGGGTGCACGGAGCCGTTAGAGCAGCTTGTCGCTCCTGCAGCTTGTCTGTGTCGGTGTCATTAAACAGGATGAAAGGCCTGTAGCAATTCAAGATACTTGGAGGCTGGTCCACAGAGGACGTGGACACACCACGAGAATCTCCCAGAGCACCATCGCAGTGGAAGACTTCGAGACCATCGATGCAGGGTACTACATCTGCACTGCTCAGAACCCCCACGGACAGACTACAGTCGCCACCACTGTCGAGCTCTCCTGACGTGGAGAGTGCAGTGCTGCAGACTGATGGAAAGCCTCTCTGTATGCACAGCCGTGGGCCTCTTTTATTAGTGCTTTGCCAAAAGCTGACGTCAATGCCAAGTGGCAATCCCCGCCTGTGAGTCAGACCCAGACATCCAACTAAAAGGAAGTCACCCATTTATTAACGGAAGTGTTAACTTTTCTAACAGAAAGCATATATTTTGACTGCTTACCTATGTCCATGTTTTGCATACTAAAAAAAGCATATACCCATCTTTAATCATTTCTATTAAATGAGCAAGTTTTTGTAAAAAAATAAAGTGGGTTAAGTACTTGTTTTTTTCAGTTGGCTTGAAGGACATCAAGAAAGACTTCTTGGCAGCAACACTTCAGTCAATGTATAGGGTTCTCTTTGATATAAGAATCCCACTACATCAGATTTTTACAATGTACTAATACATAGTTCAGCTACTTATCTACAAGTAGTGACTTAAGATTCAAATTCTTAGACATATCACTTTTTGTCAGTAGCAGCTTTAAAGCTAATGTGAGTTCTTTTACAAAGGTATCAAAAAAATCAGACATACTGAATTCTTTGTATGCACTCTAGAGTCCTAATTTTAGATTAGACTATTCAATAAGAATTAGAACATGTGTTTTTAGAAGTTTAACTCTTAACATAAAATAGATACACAAATTAAGAAATATTTAACTTTTTTTAACAGTGTCAAAAATTTATTTGAAAAGGATGAAGCAGTATGGGAAAAACAGGCTCTGCAGAGTGAACTTGGGCCAGACAAAAGAGGAAAAGAGAGAAAGAGCAAAAATAAAAGTATATCCTGGTCTAGAAGACACAGCATGGGCCACCATGAAGAGTCATGATAGCCAAGGAATATTTAACATTGTTTAGATTCATCTTCAAAAGTATTTAGACAGTAGTTTCTTAAAACCAGCCAAAATTTATTTCTCAAATACACATCTTTAAATTTTAAAAAGCTCAGCTCCAACGCTAGCTCTGGGAGCCAGATTTCAGCCCATGACAAATCCTGTGGTTTCCACTGGAAATTCCTGTGAAATGACTTAGACATGATCTTAACTATGCGGCCATACACTGAGTGACACTTTGAAAAGTGAAACAGGTCAGAGGCTACAATCCTTACATTGAATATTCCAGCATTATTTATTTGATCAAAATAAAATACACTTTCCATCACTATGAACAGCACAGCTACCACTGTTTACACATCTATATTTTTAGGACGTGCCAACATTTTGCATCCCGCGTGAAACATTTGGTTTAAACAAATCTCAAAAATTCTCTATTGTGTTCCCTATCTTTTTTGCTGTCTCCCATCCTCTGAGGACATTTTTACTACTTGCTGTAAGGTTGATTTCCCAGACACCTAAATGGTATGGAGAAGAGCAGGGAATAGCATGAGATTACCATGCATAGGGGATGAATGGCAAACCCAACTTTGGCTAATGTCACGGAGAACAACATAGAAGTGAGAGCAGAGATGTTCCAGGAGCTGACAGTGAATCTATGTCCCCACTTATCAGAAGTGAACATCGAAGGTTACATATGTAATAAACTACCGGAGGTTAAAGACACCCAACACAATCACTAATAAACATGCATGATGAGTATCAGTTGGCTATGTAATGTACACGTAGCTGATGACTCAAATACCCACATCTAGTTTCCTAATCTGTTCTTACTATACGGGCTATTTGCACAGCCATCCAGTGGAGATTAGTAAATACTGACATCACAAGACTGACACATGCAAGGAGGGGAGGAAAAGCCACAGCTGTCCTCCTAGCTTCCACAGAGTTTTAAACTGGGGGTGGTGATAAGGGAAATTCTGAAAGAAGTTCAAATGTAACTTGGAGAGTTGTCAAGCCACATTTCCTACTTGTCTGATGGCTATTCTGCTATTCTTTTCTAAAGAAAGGAGTATTCAAAGGGTACTAGCACCATCTTCCCAGGCTATGTTATTCTATTAAACACAGCATTATTGGCTCAATCGAGGTGCTTCTACTTATCAGTAAGTGCTGAATCCTATCTTTCTTAGTTCTAGCCAATAACTTCCTCTTTCTCATTATTTTATGTAAGGGTTTCCAAAATTTGTGTATCAGATCCAGGCCTTAGTTTATTTGGAAAATGAGTTCAGCACCTTGTAAGTAAACTAGCTCTGGAGAGGCATAGATAGGAGGTAGAAGGTTTTGTGGCTCTGGATAGTAGAGAAAGGAGAGGGAGAAATAAGGATAATGGGAGAAAAGATAAGCACTTAAATCTGTAAGGACAGTTTAGCTCAAGGTGAAAAATAAGGCAGAACAATCCACTGGCACTGCCCCTTTTCTTTATACAGATTTTTAAAAAATATTAGGGTTCTATATTTCCTCAGAGCCTCAGCTAATGGATCTTAGTATATAGTGTCAGGGTTATGTAACCCACAGAAAGTGTAGCTAGTTTAAACTGATGAGGGTGAACACTGAAAAGCTCCCAACAAGTTACTCCAAAAAGATATAGAAAATATATCGACATTGACAAGTCAAAGCTGCTCTTATCAGACCCTCTCCACTATGTCACAGAGCTGAGTAGCGCTGGTGGTAGAGAATTATAATTCAAGCAACTGCTGCTTTTTCTTCTATGGCTTCTGGAGCAGTGTGCACACTGACTGTGCTCTGGTTTAGTATCCACCCAGCTATACTGAGCTTTGGACTTTCATCCTGCGGTAAAGAAGGCTGCTCGAGACATATGACACCGCCTCACATCCACGCCATTCATGCACCCCACCCATAGTCAGATCAAAACAAAAATCACAAGAAGGTGTCTGTGGTGAAGAATGTTATAAAGGCTATAAATCTTTATCTTAATAGGGCCCTGAGAGTTTTTCCCCTTAAGCTTAGGTGAAAAAGGCAATGAACAAGATTCTCTCATTCCTTAAGTGCTTTGTGCAACAAGTTCCATGTCAATTCTGAACTCTTTTTTAGAGGGATCTTTTGGACCAAGTCAAAAGTCTTCCTCCAGAGTTCCAGTCTCCTAAGCAGCCGGTTTTGGTGGCTGCTGCTTTCCAGTTATCCTGCAGAAATCCCGCGCAAGCTAACGTAGCTCCTGCTCCCATGATAACTGTTAGGCCCGGTCTGCAGAGCTGCGCCCAGCTGCCCTCAGAGTCTCACGGCTTCCAGGAAGCGTCATCTGGGTGAGACACTAGGGCTGGGGAAGGAGCCCGAGTTCCTGGGTGACTGAAAGGGGACGGCTGAGGACGTGGGCGACCTCTTGGGGCTGCACAGGTCCCCATTGTGCAGCTTCCACAGCAGCTCCTCATTCTCCATAGAGAGTCGCTTGTTGACCTTTGACTCCTTCTCCAGCGACTCCTGCAGCACAGCCTGCTCCGTGGAAAGTTGCCTTGAGCACAAGAGAGATCCAGAAACCTTGTGAGTTTAAGTCAAAAACTAACTTGAAAAACTTTACCATTTTAAATTTGAAAGTCCAAAAACTTTGGGAGAAAATAGAATCCTGCAGAGGTTCACCAGTATTAAAGCTGGCGGAACCCAACGAGATACTAACCCCAAATATTTGAGGCATAAGCCTGAGCAAGAGAGAGAGAGAGAGAGAGAAACCCTGCACCTCTGGGGCAATCTGTAGCGTCTGTATGACTCTCACAGGTCTGCCACATGTTCTGTGACTGTCTTATATTTGGGGCTGCTTTCATTTTAAAAAGACATTCATTGGTGCTGGGGATAAACCCCAAGGCCCTGTGTGTGTGAGGCAAGTGCTGTCTGAGCCGCACCCCCAGGCCAGGATGTTTTCTGGTTTGTGTTGCTCCTATGCCACGGACTCTGGGAGAAGGTTTCCTCATGTATCCAGGCCACTCTGGTAAGAGCATGAGCAGATATCATCCCATTTTTCATATTTTAGAAGTTAGTACTTTTTTTAACCACTCACTCCGATTATGTTTCCAGGAGGTGCCTGGTGGAGTGTGGTCTGAAACTGACATGTTCAAGGATGGTGGGCCATCAGGAAAATGGGACTGGTTTATTTTTACCTTGAAATTGCCATGTGCTTGTCCATCCGAGCTTTTAACTCCTCGTTCTCCTGCTGGAATCGCTTCAATTTGTCAACGAGCGCTGTGTTGTTGTCCACCTTCATAAAGAAGAATTCCGACCTCTATTATACAGTAGAACAATACAATTCCTTTATTTCTTAAGACATATTCTTGACAAAAGCACACTTTGGAGAGATTTATTTAGGAAATTTAAAAGCACACTGAGGTATTTAGATCTTAACATTCAGCCAAAAACACTCTAAAGGAGCAAAATAGAGCATGCAGATACTATGTATTTTTAAAAAGTATGCCAAGTGCTTAAAATAGACCTGCCCAGGTCACATGTTTAGAACCCTCCCTGAGAACTGGTGCCCTGGCCCAGGTGACCCCAGGCACTGGGCCTGTTCTCTGATACGGTGGCCCAGCACATACTGCCGCTGAGAGCCTGTGTTTCTCACAGATACGACATTTTCCTGTGGTGAGGTTTTTCGGGGAAAAATAAACCCCAGTAAACAACAACTCACATGAAAACTTGCAGGCCAACAGTTTATATTTCTTAGCCACATTTAGTAAGGCCTTAAATACATCTCAGATTTCAGGGTTGGTTTTAAGTATTAACTCTCAGCAGCCACACAAAGGTACAATGCAACAAAGTTCCACAGAGCATGGAGTGGAAGAAGGAACACTACAGAAGGCTTCTCTCCTCTGCCCAGGGCAAAATACCTCTGTTCTGCCCACACTCCACTTTCAAGGGGAGCAGTCCGATCGGCTGAGAGGCTAAGGATAAGATCCCTGAAGATATTTAATCACTGACACAATAGAGAGCTGATTCCATCCCAGCTCACTTTCTAAAAGTACGATTTATTACTTAAGAGGCAACACTGCAGCTTGGTCACAACTAATCCTAAGGTGCTGTCGTTGCAGTATTGTGATGACTACTCTGATTAAAGTGCCTAGTTTATTCTCTATTATTTTGAAGACATCCTAGTATCCACAAAATGCTCAGGGAAGGCCATTCAGATGAAATGGCTTTGCAGAAAAACAAGTCTAGAATATTAGAAAAAGAGACTATGAAATACTCAGTAACTACAAAGGAATTAAAGCTAGAAATATGAGGTGGGAGGACCTGGGATTACAGAGTAGGAGGTAATACTATTGGATCCAGTCTTTCACATTAAGAAGAGGGAAATGAAAATATCAGTGCTAATTATTGGCAGAGCTAGTTTTCATATTCACAGCATGATTTCTTCCTTAGACAACCTCATAGGCTTTTTCAAAGACCCAGCTCTTACACATAAGTAAGGTAACAGTGGATGTTGCTATCATCATGGCAACACGTTCTTTTTGTTTGTTTTTGAGACAGGGTCTCTATGTAGCCCCGACTGGCCTCACACTCACGGTGATCCTCCTGCCTCAGCCTTCCAAGTGCTGGAATAGCAGGTGTGCAGCACCATGCTCAGCTCAGCATGGTGTTTGTCAGCCAGCAACACAGTCTTGTGTATATGTATACACAGCACATATAACAACGGGATGCCAATTGATGTTAACAAAATACCTCTTGGGTTTGACAAGAAACAGAAATACTACGGATCAACAAAAAATTAAAACATGCTCTGACTTCCACAACAGAGCCTGTTCTATTGCATACCATCTTCTGGAAAGTTCTGATACATCACTGGCATAAGGGGTAACAAATTATTAACAGGATGATCTGAGTCATCACTGCCTGCCTGATTAGCAGAGCCATCGCACCTGTCTGACAGGGTGACCTTTGGCAGCAACGGGTGTGTCACTAGGTTGGGCCTGTTAACAACCATGAGTTCCTTGCAGTCCTTAAAGCAGAAGTAAGATTTCCTGATGATATGAAGTGTTCACATACAAGTGCACACATAGCGAACTCGCTATTACCTCCCTCCAAAGACAAGTCACAGTCTCTAGAAGAAAACCAAACCAAACTAAATCAAATCCTCAAACTTTATTATTTATTTTTTGGCTGTTTGAGACAGGGTCTCACTGTGCAGTTCAGGCTGGCCTTGAGCTCACTTTGTAGCCCAGGCTGGTCTCAAACTCTCAATAATACGCCTGCCTCAGCCTCCCAAATGCTGAGATTACAGGCGTGTGCCACCATGCCCGGCTAAATCTTCAAACTTCAAACGAACAAAAAAATCAGACAAGAGGGACCTCCAGGGCCCCTATTGTTCAGGATTGTTCTGAGTTTGAAAGAGTAATTTATTCTGAGTCACCGAAACCTGGGGGATCAAGGGCAAGTAGTGGTAGGTGACTGGCACAGTCAGGGGCAAGGTACAGCAACGTCTGAGATCACTTAAACTGCGCTGCCCCCCCTGCCAACTTGGTTCGAGTCCTGGCTAGCAGCAGCTATATGTCAAGGCCAAGCCAAGACTGACAATGGACACTCAGCAAGCTCCTTAAACACATGGTGCTGGGTAGACTTATCACACACACATTTCAGTTCTCTGTTCTTCAGGCTGTGAATTAAATTTTATTCATATTTTTCATAATGCTTGCTATTTGTCCAACTGGATTAATATTATTAAAGCATAATTATTTTATGTTTTAATTTACTGGAAGAAAGATGAGGATTTAGACAGATTCTGTTGCTCCAGTGGGATTAATCTATATATCCAACTTTTCTGGACATAAGAAACCTGCCCCCAGAGTTGGTGGTATATTAAAGTATTGGCGTTATTTAAATTTTTGTTCTTATACAGGTAAAGATTCATATACCACTGAACATGAGCTGATGTTTGTTATACTTTGCCCAAGAACTGAACTGAATGATGTTTTAACATGGTCCTTGAAAAATAAATGTTCCAGAAGGCCACAGTAAATTAGCTTTGAACAAACTTGGAAAGAAAATGTACCTTTTACCTTTGCATGACTTTAAGTTTCTCTAAGTGGCAGCTCACTCGAGTCTCCAGTTCTAATCTCCACACTCAGTCCCCATTTCCCAAGTGCCAGCCCGTGGTGAGGCCCTCGGTGCCCTGCCCCGAAGGAGACATACCAGCTTTTCCATTTTCATTAACTTGACATCCTGCTGGTGCAGTTTCTCATTCTTGATCTCTAGCACGGCCTTCAGGCTTTCCAGCTCTTGTTCCAGATACATGAGCTGAGGGTTTTTCTGGAAAAAACACAGTAAGACATGGCTAAGGCTTATTTCACAAAACACACAGTCCTAACACTTACTATAAAGAATTTCTGGTTGGATTTAGACATTAGACAAGTAGCAAGGAACTTCCTTCCTCTTAACAGTAATTTCAAAGAAAGAGGTGAGAAAGAAAAGCTAAGACCATTATAATCTGAAATAATTTGGTCATAATATGAAAATAAAAATATCACTCATAACATGTCAGTAATACGGAAAAACATTTGTTGCATCAAATATGTTACTAGGAACAATAGGGAAGCCACTGCTTACACTGCAAGAAGGGAGCTCTGGAGACGGGGCCTTCCTGAGGTGTCTGTGGGGACAAAGGGGAGCAACAGCTCTCTTTAAGCAAGGCCAGTACCTGATCAGAAAGAGAACAGCACTACACTTACAGAGCTCTCTCAGAAACAACCAAAATACTGATCAGGTCTTGAGTCTGATTTGTTTTCATGTTGGCACTATACTGACCCGGCCATATTACTACGGCAGTCATAACACTATCATTTCATATTGTGAAACCCCAGCATAAAAGGACAGTGTTCTATGTCATGCAGCACATACTGTGCTGTGACTCTTTCCCAAGTGAACTCTTGTGAAGAGAGATGTGCACCTCGCTCCTCACTTAATGGATGGAAATTCAACTGAACCATCCAAAATTATGATACAAATTAACAGTATGTGACCTATTGGTAAACTGTTTAAGGAGGGAATTTCTTAGATAAGATTCAGTGTTGTGGATATCAAAACTACCCTTTGGGGTAGTGGATTCCATTTTGGAGCAATTCTTTGGGAGAATCCAAATCCCTTTACTTAAAAAAAGATGAATCATGCTCTACAATTTAAATGGTTACTCAGGAAAGGTTCCAGAGCTAGAAAGGGCCAGCACAGGGGCTAACATTCAGAGTGTCATGTCTATGCTTTACAAAAATTTTATATAATATTTTTACGTATGATGTACAGAAAATAACAAACCTTACTTTTGATTGGAGGGAAACTACATAATTCCCTGTCCATTTTTTAAAAAGAGCACTTACAATCTGCACTTTCTCTACATCTTACTGCTCTGTCTGCCTCTTTCTGTTCTCACTCCTTTGTGCTCTTTTTTACAACCTGTGACACTGAGGTGGGCAGGGCACTGGCTATTACTGCCCCCTTCTATCTATTTCCTCTTTAGCATTTCAAAACTGGCTACAGTAGAAGAACCTGTGTTCCAGGAAGCTCTTTAAAACCTATTCCCTGAAACCTTAGTGAGGTCTATGCTTTGCATGTAAGTCCAGGTTTCTTTGTAAATCACTGGCTTTTGCTAAGATTCTTCCAGAATAAAGAATCTTGAAATTTCCTTGAACATGATCTCAGCTAGTTTTATCAAATATCTAGAGGGCTGTCCAAGCTGATTATCAGAAGAGGGTCTCACTAGAGTTCCACAAGAGAAATCAGAGAGCTGGCAACAGATCTTAAGTGTCAAAAAAACTTTGGTTCTGCAGTTCTATAGCACAAATATATGGAATGAAAATGATGGTCCTAAAGATGTAAGCAGGAAGAAATTTACCATCCCCAATAAAAAAGAATAAGAATACAAGCCATAAGTGAAATCTGAGTTTACAAGAAAAATCTGTACTTTTGCAAAGAGACAGCTACCCATAGGGTGACACAGTAGTCATCCACAAAGAGGGATGATGTACTGGTATGTGCCACCATATGAACCTTGAGAACATTATCTTAAGTGAAGGAGACAATCACAAAAGGCAACGTGTTATATGATTATCTTCATGAAATGTCTACAATAAGCAAACCCACAGAGAGAAAATATAAACAGGTGGTTGTTTAGTGCTGGGATACTGGGGGTGGGGAGTAAATGCTAATGAATTGAGGTTTCTTTTTAGGATGATAAAAATGTTCTAGAATTAGATACTGGTAACTAATCCACAACTTTATATATATAATAAAACTCACTGAATTATACCTTTTTTTTTTTTTTGAGACAGGGTCTTGCAGTGTAGTCTAGGCTGGCCTGGAACACTGTGTAGCCCAGGCTAGTCTTGAACTCAGGACAATTCTCCTGCCTCAGCCTCCTGAACACTGGGATTATACCCATGTTCCACCTGGCTTGAACTGTATATTTTAAAATAGTGAACCTTGTGGTATGTATATTATATCACAATTTAGTGGTTACTTACAAAAATAAGGTCTTTGCATAAAAGATTGGTAGTTTTCTTATTTTCCTATAGGTATTCACTTAGACCAACAAAAATATATTGGATTTCATCTATAAGTCAGTTCTTATGATATGAAGAGACACCAGTGAATAAAGAAGTTGTCTTAACCAGGTAAACACACAAAAAAACAAGTCCCAATCCAAACATGGGCATCTGAGATGAATACACACTTCTCAGATGACAAAAATGGCAAATAAATACATGAAAAAATGTTCAACATTCTTGGTCATTTGAGATGCAAATTAAAACAACACTGAGATTCCATCTCACCCAAGAAAGAATGGCTATCACCAAAAAATCAACTGATAACAAATGCTGCAGGGGCTGTGGGGAAAAAGGAGCCCTTCTTCACTGTTGGTGGGAGTGTAGACTTGTGCAGCCACTGTGGAAATCAGTGTGGAGATTCCTCGTAAGACTAGGGTTAGAGGTCCCATTCAAATCAGCTATTCCCTTTCTGGGTATTTTCCCAGAAGAATTAAAAACATCATACCTTAGTGATATATGTGTACCCATGTTTATAGTAGCACAATTGGAATAGCTAAATCTTGGAAACAACCCAAATGCCCATCAACCGAGGAATGGATAAAAAAAAGATGTGTTTTTTTTTTTATATATAATGCAGTACTACTCAGCCATAATGAAGGATAAACTGGAGACTTACATAGGTAAATGGATGCAACTCGCAACCATACTCATAAGTGAAATAAATCAGACCCATGTATATGAACATTGCATTGTCTCCCTAATGTGAGAAACTGAACAAGTAAATAAGGTCCAAAATGTACAACAGATATTGTGAATTGGGAAGGAACTATTCAAAAGAGAAGACAAACAGTGATGGGGGAAGGGGGAAAGGAAGGAATGGAAAAGGAAAAAAATACAGGTATGCACAAGATAGTTAAGATAGTTATACAGCTAGTTTCTCTTGTTCATTGAAAAGAAAGGTTAGTGCTAATATTTTTTTGGACAAGATATCATGCCTATATCTGAATAACCACTATGAAGACAACAATATGCAATGTATTAATTATTGCAACTCTCCTACTCACCTGTTTTGAAACTGTTTTATTTTTAGTTTTCTCTCTTTAACACACACACACACACACACACACACACACACAGATGGAAAACTTCAAACCTATATTATTTCTCTGGCTGAAGAACATTTAATAGACCCTAAAAGGCAACTAAGCAGAAGAAAAATATAAGCTGTGATAGATGAGCACAAAACTTACTACATTTGCCTTCTCTCTTGATATTCTTTTTTGTTCTTCCGATTTCAGCTTTTCATTTAAAGTATCATTTTCACTCTTCAGATCACTGATTTGTTTCTAAAACACAGGGACACATGTGGATGTAAGTTAACAGGAAAATACCAGAGACAGACCAGAAAGACACAGAAACATATACCCAAACCACACAGACAACAAGAAAGATTATTTGGGGATAGTATTAAGATTCACCCACCTCTAATGATTCCTGCTTCTCATAAAGTAAAGTCTCAAGTGATTTCTTTTCCATTTCATGGCTTTTCTTGATTTCTGGAAAGAAGGGATTTTTTAAGGCAATATTATTCAATGAGATCATTGTATTCCACAAGTACTGAAGGATATACATGTAGGAGTTAGTTATGAAGTTATGGCTGTGTTACTTTACAATCTGTCTGATACTTCTACATAAATTGAGCAATCTCTTCTCAGAATAGGCTTATGTGGTGGGTAGGGTGTAGGTTCCTGTCTTGTGACTGGGTACCCTGAGACCCACAGAGGCCAAGAGCCGTTAGAAAACAGCAGGAAGGTCAGGGTCTCAAGACACTGGCCTCAGATGTGTGGTCTGAGCCCCTACACTCTTCAATTTCACTTCTTGAACCGAAAAGAAGTCTAAAATTAAGTGCATGCCTAATAGGAAGAAGGAAAAACAATGTTTACTAAATGTGTACCTTCAGCCAGTGTATCAGTTAGGATTTATTAGAGAAACAGATATAACACAAGATATACAAATGTATAAGAAATTATAAGTTTGGCTTGTAATGGTCAGCCACAGAGTTGGTATATGTGCTGCTGAAGCGAGCATGGTCAGCCAGAGTTGGATGAGGAGGTGTGCAGAGGATGTCTGCACGCTGGCGATTGAAGAGCCCAGCCCCAGGCTGGGAGCTCACTGTAGTGTTTGTGTAAGTCTGCGTCAGGAAGCTGATGGGTCTATGACAGAATGGTCAAGAATCTATGAAAAAGGTCAAAGAGTCTACGCCAGAAGGCTGAAGAGTCCCAGGTGGCCAAACAGTCTGCGCCAGAAACCAGGAGACAACAATAAAGCTGAAGGTGAAGACTGGAGCTCCTCCAAAGAACCAGCAGCCAGTCTTTTTTTAATTTTTTTTTTTTTTTTAAATGTAGCCTACCCACTCTGGGTGGGTGGGGGTGGTCTTTTTTTTTGTATAGGCTCAGGATGAATATAAAGTAAGCACCATGGCTCTCTGCTGAGTCACACAGTTAACTTCTTAAACTTTTTAAATTGACACAGTAAACAACATTTCAGAAGGGTAAGTGCATGTCTTTTTTACTCTAAGATGTAGAACTATTGAGTTATTTGGCCAAATCTCTAGACTGTCCAAGTTAACACGATGTATCAACCATAACAGCCAGTCACTTTTATATCTCATGATCTGTGACATCACACACCTCTGTTCTTCTGATAAGTCCTGAGACTTATCAGATAGCTAGTTAGCTATCTGATAGCTAGTCAGGTAGCTAGTTCCTACTACACACCCACGTGCTTCTGTGTGAGATGCAGCTGCTTGAGTATAAAGACTACAGCTGCACTGCTAAGTTCTGGCAGACCAGCTTCTTGTTTTTTTCCTTCCACTTCAGCCTTTCTGGTAATAAGAGGTGAGATAACAACAAAGGTTTGTCCTTTATCCAAGAAGTGCCGTCTCTATTTCACAGCAATGCTGGTGTGCAAGAGTGCATGGTGTGGATCCTTTATGTGATCAGGATTTAAACTAACATCTTCAACTTCCCAGGAACCTAAAATAGCAACCACCATCCACCACCACCACCACCAAAAAGGCCTTTCAAATCTTTTTTTTTCCTAAAAGACTTACACTTACAATAAACTATTATTTGACTGCATGGCAGCAAAGGGCATCCATTAACAATGAACAATGTGAAAGAAACCCAAACACACCAAACAAATGTCACAGGGCATTCTCTGAAGGGAGAAGTTATGAATCATTTCCATCTTAAAAAATATCAAGCTTTTCCACTGTATCATTTTATGTTTAAATAGCAAGAAAGGATGCTTGCCTGAAAGGGAGGTTTCATACGCTTGCTTTAGCAGTTCTATTTTCTCAGAGTGGCTAGCTTCAGTTTCCAACTTAGAAGTTTCATGGGCAGCATTTAAGTTGTCAAACTATAAGAAACAAACAAAAGTTTACCGAAAAAGCAAGTTCCAAGTTGAATAAACAAGCGGCAACATTAGGAGACTTTACATATAAGTGTGCGTTTGCGTTCACAGGCTACCTAACAATGTAAACCACGGCCCAAAGTGGAGTGACCACTGCCCGCTCTCCATGCTGTGCTCCCCGGAACACAGAGCACATGGTCTACAGAGTTCACTGCCAGCATGCTGAGTCCATCACAAGGAGCGAGGCTGCTTCACAGCAACAGGGCTATGTACGCACCATGCCTGTCACATTGCCCTTTCGCATGTAGTATAACGTGATCTCACTGTATCTAAATAGTAGGCACTCTCTAAATTTTCACTAAATGAAAAATTAAGCTTGGATATTAAAAGTTTACAGCATAAAAGTCAGTGTGTGTGGGAGAAGGGTTATTTTAAAAGTGTCATTTTTTTTTTTAAAAACAAAGAAGAAACACAAACCAATGATTTAGTAGCATGCTACCATGATCCTTCCAAAGGCATTATTTCTGGGGGCTGGGGATTTAGCTCAGCGGCAAAAGTGCCTGCCTGGCAAGCGCAAGGTCGTGAGTTCGGTTCCCGGTACCAGAGAAAAACCAAAAAACCAAAAAACAAAAACAAAAACAAAGGCATTATTTCTGGACAGTGGCATTAAGGATAATCTTAAATTTTATCTCTTCTTTTCAGGTCAACATATGGACATCATTTTGACCACAAGAAAAAAATTTTACTAAAACTTTTTCTACCTACTAAACTGAAGGACTAAAGAAAACTCATCAAAACAAGTGAACGGCAATCAGAATTAAGCAGCCACGGCGGAGCACACGTTCCTGTTCTAAGGCACAGACCTGCTCTTGCAATTGAGCTTTATACTTCTCTGCTTCTTCAATGTAGATGTTCTGCAGCTTTTCACACTCCCCCGTGTAGAATTCCTTAAGCCGACTCTCCAGCTCCGTTCGGTCCGTCTGGTGCTGCTCGTTTAACTTCTGGACAAACGCTTCATATGCTATTTGCAACTCATTCCTGGCTTTTTCTAACTTCTCACAGGTAGTTGAAGCAGCAACTAAAAAGAGATGAAAAAGAAAAGGGCACATGACATTGAATTTGCTCCACTTCCTAAATTCACACTATTCATACAGAGCTGGGATGACTTTAGAGTCATGAACACAGCAGTGGCCCAGTTCTCAGTGCTCAGTTACCCGTTCAGGTTGTAAATGTTGTCCAAAGCCCAGTGTTTAAGGCTTGCTCCTCAGCCCATGGCGCTACTGGGAAGTGGTAGAACCTTTAAGAGCTGGGCCTAGCTCCTATGTCATTGAAACATACCCTTGGGGGGCTGGGAGACTGTAACCCCTTCCTCCTCCTCTTTTTCATTTCCCATAGGTGAACAGTTCGTTCCACCTATGCATTCCCTCCCTGCCATGATGAGCTGCTCACTACAGGCCCAAGGCAATGGAGCCAACTGATCATGAGCAAGGCCCTCCAAAACTGTGTGCCAAGATAACCCTTTTCTTTTTATAAGTGGGTTGTATCAGGTGTTTTGTTACAATAACACAAAACTGACACAACCTGAATTTCACATACAATCACATAGAAGTGAATTGTAAAAGGAAACAAGAGGAAACAGTTGCTGGAAACAACCATAAAACATAAAATGCCCAAAAGAACTGACTACCAAGCAGTAAGAAAAGTACTTAGGAAGAGCTGGGTTCCCACGTAAAGCTCGCCCTTTTGCACTGTGCACAGTCAATGCAGTGGCCACAAAGAGAAGAGCTTCAGATTGACCAAGACATTTGTAATGACAAGACACTTAATTCTCAGCCAGGGAGCTAAGATACAGAAGGAGCAGAAATGATCAGATAGAGGAAACAATGGACTTTACATATATACTTAATTTACTTCAAAAATATAGTAATAACAAATATTACAACATATTGAACATGAATCACCAGAGCATAGAAGTTTTAGGGGGAAAGCTATATTTTAAAAGGTCCAATATAATATGAATATAAAGGCTAGCATATTTCAAGTAGGCAAAGTAATTTTATAAGCAATTTAAAATCGGAACATCCTATCTCCTCTCCACCACTACCAAAGCTTTAATTACACATGATATAACACACTGCAGATCACACAGTGACATACATACACAAACTACAGCAAATGCTAGAAGACTGCAAATGTCTCGGGAAGCCTGACTTCAAATCTCCCCAGCCTCCTTTGTCAGTGTGTACATACAGATGAGCAGAGTCCTACTGTGGAGAATGTGTGTTCTCAGCATCCCACAATGCCGACAGAGTAAAACAGTTACTGACGTGCCTGTCAGAGTCTTCCTTACCTCTCTTTTGGTAAAGTATATATATTTCAGCAGTTGTGAAAGGGTAGTTCTGAGAGGGTAGGTCAGGTAAATAATTATTCTAAGGAATATAAACCCAGTTCATTTCTGGTATGAATTTCCTATAATGGTATGTGCTTGTTTCTTTGGGAAGATGCCAAGTGGCAATAGAAGTAATCAATACAGATTGTCACAAATGATTATTCCCTCAGAGATAAAGACATATTAAAATAATGACAAGATTAATGCCTGCAAAGAGGAACCTTAAAAATAATGAGGGAAAGAAGAAAAAGAAAGTACTAAGGCATCATATATATATACGTATATATATGTATATACGTATATATATGGATTGGTGGCATAACTGTACTGATGGTGTCTGATGGTTTGTTGAGGGCAACAGTTAATGATTAAAAGTTTTTTTTTAATATTTTTACCAATTTTGCATGCTTGTATCTGGTAATCTAAGCAATTTATGTGATGACAATTTGCAGTATAATGGTTGTATTGTTGAATTCCTACAATCCTGTCTATGTATTGTCTCTAATGTTCTTTTAAATTATTATTTTCTTATTCCCTTTAATGATTTGATCAATCTTCTATTCTTCTATCTGGTAATCTGAGCAACTTCGTTGAAGATAACAATATGTAATATAATAACAACCACTGTTAATCTCTATCATTTGGTTTGAAACCCTGTATCATTTTGAATGTCCTTGCTTTGTTTTGTTTGTATTTTGCTATTGTTCTTTTTTTTTGTACTATTTTCTTTAAAATAAAAAATTTTTTAAAAAGATAATAGGAAACAAGGAAGTAGGACCTTTGTTAAGACTCAGGCCGGGGGATTGCAAAGAGTTTGAGGCCAGCCTGGGTTATATAGTAAGTTCAAGGCCAACCTGAACTACATAGTGAGACCCTGTCTCACAAAACCAAAAAACAAACAAACAAATAAATAAATAAAATGCACCTAATCATGCAGTGACAGACATATGAAATGCCACCAATGTCATTATAACTACAATAAAATCAAAGAACAAAGCCTAAAAAAAAAAAAAAGATAAATCCATAAATACTGAAAGGGTGCAATAGTTTGCATGGCAAAGTCTTGCTCCCCAGTATGGCACCACTGGGAGGTGGCAAAGCCTTCAGGAGGTGAGGCCTCATTAGGGGGTCACTGTGGCTGTGCCCTCAAAGGGGGCTGTGGAACCCCAGTCTCCTCTTCTCTTTCTCTTCCCAGCTAAGAAGCGAGTCTTGCCTGGCCATGCAGTCCTGCCATGAAGCGTTGCCTCCCTCTAAATAAAGGGAATAACCAACCATGGACTAAAGCCCTTAAAACCAGGAGCCAACATAACCCTTTTCTGTGCACAGGTTACCACAGGAATTTGCTGAGGTGATGGAAAGCTGACTAACTCAGAGGGAAAGGAACCGACATCACACAAACAGGCAAACAGATATGAAAACTACTCCACATCTGGCACAGAGTAGGGCGCCATGCCCTGCTATCCTGGCTAGCCCTCCAGAGGGCCTGATTCCTAACTCGTGTGCGTGCGTGTGTGTGTGTGTGTGTAGCATTGGCACACTTTAGGTATACATAATGATCACATTCATCATAGGAAGTTTATACCTGTACATGACATATCTTGCTGTTTTCTTCCCTATTACCCTCTTCTCCCTTTATCCCCTTCCCCCCCTTATTTACAAAAGTTTTGTTTATATTTCTTTTCTTCTATTTTTTTCTTGTCCCTCACTTCCTTTCTCCTTCCTCTATCCTCCCTAATTCTCCTTCCCATTTCCCAATATTTATTATACATTTTGGTCCTTATTTATATTTATTTAATTTCTCACATCAGAGAAACAAGTATTTAAATATCTGTGTACGATTTATTTCACTTAACAGTATGGTCTTAAGCTTCATCCATTTAGCTAGAAATGTCTCAAGCTTATTATTCTTTATGGCAGAGTAGCACTCCATTGTATGAAAACACCACATCTTCTTTATCCATTCATCAATTGATGGGCATTTGGGCTGTTTCCAAGATTTAGCTGTGACAAACTGTGAGGTTATAAACATAGGGGCATATACTGCTGTGGTACGATGCTTTTGATTCTTTTGGGAAGATACCCAGAAGGGGACTAGCGGGTTTGAATGGGACCTCTAATCCTAGTTTTGTAAGGAATCTCGACACTGATTTTGATAGTGGTTGCACCAGTCTACACTCCCACCAACAGTGGAGAAGGGTTCCTTTTCCTCTACAGCCCCATCGGCATTTGTTATTGGTTGATTTTTGACAATAGCCAACATCAGTCTGGAGTGAGATGGAATTTCATCATTGTTTTAATTTGCAACTCTCAAATGACTAGTGATGTTGAACATTTTTGTATATATTTGTGTCATTTCTACTTCCTCACCTGAGAAGTGTCTGTTCATTTCAGATCCTCACTTTTGAATTGGGTCTTTAAATTTGGGGGTCTAGTTTTTTTGAGTTCTTTTTATATTCTAAATATTAGTCCTTTGTCTGAGAAACAGCTGGCAAATTTTTTCCCATACTGTGGGCTGTCTCTTCACTCTGTTGGTGGTTTCTCTTACTGTGTAAAAACTTTTAATAAGATGAGATCCCAGTTGTTAATTCTCTGTGATATTTCCTGTGCAACTGGGGTTTTATTCATAAAGTCTTTGCCTATATTTATGTCTTCAAGAATTCTACCCATTCTAAATTCCAGAAGATCTAGTGTTTCTGTTTTAATACTTAGATATTTGATCCATTTGAAGTTTAGTTTAGTGCATGGTGAGAGACATGGTTTAGTTTTTAGCATGTGGAAAACCAGTTTTTCCAGCCCATTTATTAAAGAAACTATCTTTCTTCCAGTGAAGGTGTTTGGCTCCTTTGTCCAAGATAAGGCTGCTGAGTGGAGACGTTTCTGTATTTTCTAATCTGCTGCACTGATCCTCAGAGAGGGTAAACAATTTGCCCACAGGCAGAGCGAGTAGACAGCAGAGGGCTGGATTTTGGTAAGCAGTTTGTGCTCCAGTGCTGTCAGTCCCTTCCATTCAGCGAGCGGCTTTGTGCCAAGGCAGGTGAGGTACACGAGGGGACTCTCATGTGGAGACTCACTGTCTAACTGAGCAGACAGAGCCACAGCAGAACCAGCAGTACTGGGCCCAAGAAGTGGCACCCAAGGAAGTTTACATCAGTCAGTGTGGAACAGAAGGTTTGGTCAGTTTTTTTAATTTTTAGAAGAATATTTTTTATAAAATTCACCTAACCTAAAATTTACTGGCCTTAATAATTTTAATTGTACAATTCAGTGGCATTAAATACATTTACACCAATGTGCAACCACCTCTACTACCCACTTCCACAACTTTAACCCCAAGTGCCCGCAGATGAAAACACTATATCAGTTACATAAATTCTCACACACACACACACCCAGCCTCGAGCAACCATTACTTTACTTTCATCCTGTATGAATTTGACTTCACTGGGAAGCTCACATAAAGGGAATCACACAGACCTGTCATGTTTTTGCCTGGCTTATTTAACTCAGCACAGTGTCCTCAAGGTTCAGGCACATATCAGGTTTCCTACCTTTTTCAGGCTAATTATTATTTCTTTGTACATAGATATATTTATCTGTTGATAGATGTTCAGTTTGCTTCCACTGTTTGGCCACTGAGAGTAATGCCGCTATGACTCTGGCAGTGCAAATATCTGCCTGAGTTCATTTCT